ATGCTGCTCCTCTGCCTTCACTTCTCCGTGCCTTTTCCATCATTTGTGCTCAAAGCGACTGCACTATTGTTCTTCCTGTCTGGCTCTCTTGAAGCCAGCCCACACCTTTTCAACTGCATATCCTGAGGCAAGTGTTTGAAAGCCGTTATTTCATGTTAATTAGAAGTTCTTTTTCAAGCCAACCAGCCTTGGGTAGAACTGTTCCCCCCGCCCCCCAAGCTGAGGCTTACAGAAGAGCGCTGGCATTCTGTACTTCGGGTACCATTAAAGGAACTGTGGGTGATTGTGAGCAGAGCCGCACTGCAGCCTCTGTGCAGGGAGACCTTCCACGTCACCCCCATGACCCTTCCTTGGGCAGGCAAGCTGTGCATGGAACTAAGCCGGAGGAACTCCTACCTCCCAGAAGCTCAACCATCAGCACTGTGTGACTCCGCTGGGCTCGCCAAGGTCCTAGGCCCACAGCTGCCTCGTGAGCACCTCAACCAGGAGGGCCTCTGTACGCCCCAATAGTTCTCCACCAAATGCTGACAACTGGCCGTTAGCAGATTCTCCTTGCTTTGTGTTAGGTCTACTGATTGACCTATGTTTGGTAGAAAATTCTACTGAAAATGACCCTTTTTTTTTCTTTCTATAATTATATTTTATTAATTTTCATAAACATTTACAGAGATTTTGGGCTTCCACTCATTCATTGTTGCACTATTCTCTCTACCCTCCTCCCAGTTTGTTCTTGTCCAAATGCCACAGTGCTTGTCAAAGCCAGTTCTGATTAATCTTCTTTGTCAGTGTGTCCTTTGCCATTCCCTATCACTCCTCCCTGAGAGAGACTTCACCCTGAGTCATAAGGAAAAGGGGACGGCGTATTCTCTTAGCTACTTCCTGCTGAAAAGGGACGCTGTGGGTTTCAGGGTGAAGATCTTCTCTCACTACTCCAAAGGGCCCCTTTGGCAGTAGGAAACGCATAGACTATTATGGAGATTGATTTTGGAATTCAGATGCACTCTTATTGATTGTGCTTGGCTGTACATGTACATATCCTTCAAGATGTATCATGGGGGTGTTGCAACCTAGAAGACACAAATTTGACTAACAAGTTATAAGTACATGAGTCCAAAAATTATGGAAAAGTAAAAGAAAAGATTCTTTCATTGTTTTACAAACCCTCCCCCAGGTCCCCTCCACCATGCAGCCCTCGCTCTAGTCTCCTGTGATGACAGAAATACCCAGTTACATCTCTCTTTTAAACGGTTCTCTCCCTCCTCTGTTTCAGTGCAGTATACATTATTGAACCCATCTTACTCAGTCTCTCCCCAGCCCCAAGGACAGTCCCATTCTACAACAGTGGCATCATGTAATATTTGTCCTTTTGTGACTGGGATATTTCACTCAGCATAATGTTCTCCAGAGTCAACCATTTTGAATAATATTGCATGAGTTCCTTGTTTTTTAATGCAGCATAGTATTCCATTGTGCGAATATACCACAGCTTCTCTAGCCATTCGTTTGTTGATGGGCACTTAGGTTGTTTCCAACTCCTTGCTATTGTGAACAAAGCTGCAATGAACATGGGTGTGCATATATCTGCTTGGATGTCAGCTATGGTCTCTTCAGGGTATATTCCCAGTAGTGGAATTGCTGGGTCAAATGGTATCTCTATTTGCAACTTTTTGAGAAAGCGCCATACTGCTTTCCACAGGGGTTGCACCATTTTACACTCCCACCAACAGTGAATCAGGGTTCCAGTTTCTCCACAACCTCGCCAGCATTTGTTGCTTGCTGTTCTGTTAAATTTTGCTATTTTGACTGGGGTGAAATGATATCTCATAGTTGTTTTAATTTGCATCTCTCTTAGGGCTAGGGATTTTGAGCATTTCTTCATGTGTTTGTTAGCCAACTGAATGTCGTCTTCGGTGAAGTGCCTGTTCATATCCTGTGCCCATTTTTCTATTGGATTATTTACCTTTATCTTGTTGTGGTGCTCAAGTATTTCATAAATTCTGGATATAAGTCCCTTATCTGATATGTTATTACCGAATACTTTTTCCCAGTCAGTGGCTTCCCTTTTTACCCTACTGGAGAAGTTTTTGGATGTGCATAGGGATTTGAGTCTTAGAAGGTCCCATTCATCTATGTTATCTTCTCCTGGTTGTATGAAAATGACTCTTGCCACATTCTAGACACCTGAAGCTTTCAGGAGGAATCTGCTTCTTGGCTCCTTATAAACCTCTGAGGCAACGGCTGCCATTCCTCTAGGTTTCCATAGGAAAGGTTTCCAGAGAATGACCTCTCCTTTGTGAAATCTCTTTGGGCAGAAGCTGAGCCCCACTCTCACGCCTACCTCCTCATGCCTACTTGCTTGTGGACTGGGGGCAACACCCTCAGGTTGCTTGATCCCCTGTCACATCACCCTCTGCTGCAGAGCCAGGTGTGAGGAGGTTGCAGCCCTCACCTCATTGAAGCCTCAGCACCAGGCTTTCTCAGCACCAGGCTTCCTGTAGCCCAATTGGAGGGGGTGGTTGATACCAATTCATTACCAAGCTACGGCAGGGACTGGCTAGGGCTGCCCGCATTTGATCTCTCACAGGAAGCGAGGCTGCTCTCTTCAAAGGACCTTTGAATGAAGACTTTATAGAATGTGTGGTTGAGGAATTCCAGGATGCAAATCATCACGGAAAATTATTTATGTCGAGCTTACATCACTAGAAACACATTTCTTTAGCATCTCTGGTTCATAGAAAAGGTTGTGAGTGAGCAATGCTGAAGTAATACCCATTGAGTGCTGGTTTAATATCCAGCACAACTCCAGGCTCTGTGGTGGTGCAGCCAGAGGGAGGGAGAGAGAACGAGAAAGAGAAGCCAGTGTTCTTATTCAAGAGAAAAAAAAATCACACCCAGAAAGCAACCAAAGAACATGTTCCTACACACAAGTTTCTTTATCTGTTGAATGGAGAAAAGACAAACCACCTACAAGAACTGTTACAGGGATCACAGGAGATGATACATGCAAAGTGCCAAGCACAAGGCCTGGCATAGGAGGCCTTTGGAGAATAATAGTTCTTCCTTTGTTTTTCCTTCTTTATGTAATATTAACAACATATACCTGCTAATATGCCAAAGACTGAAGAGAAAAGACAAAAACATGAAAATTGTATTAGTGGAAGACTTATTTGCTGAACTGAGTTTAGCTGAACATGGGAAGTTTGAGAACATGAGGTGTATAGTCACAGAGATAGGTAAGATAGAGTGTTGGGCCAGTGAATTGTTTGGGGAGGAGAGTGGGGTCCCCTAGTTCATGTGGCATGGAATTGCAGTGGTGAAAAGAAATGGAATGGCTGGTTGGTAGGAGGCTTCAAAGGACTACATATGGAGTTTGGATATAGTAGTACATAGCCAAAGAAGTCATGGTTTCTTGAGCCAGGAATGCAGATTCCTTTTGGAAAGTTCTATAATAAGATTTCTTGGGAGAAGTCAGGGGACAGGCAGATTTCTAGACTCACCCTGGGCCTTCTCTTGGATAGCGCTGGTGAGCCTTTTGGCCAGGAGAGCTGTCTGGAAACATGGCACAGAGATGAAAGTAGAATCTGGGAGTGGGATCACTGAGGGACCATGACAAGGACATTCAGAAGGTCTGGCTGGAGATTGAAAGTATTGGCGGTAGCTGAAATAAGGATGAGACACCTAGAGACTGAGGAGTGAGCTGGTGAGGGCCTGGCCCCTAGGAAGCAAGGCTTGGCCTCCTCAAAGCAGAGCGAATCCTAGCCACCCTTAACGTTTCTCAGCCGGGACTTTGGGAGCTCGGCAGACTCATTCACTTCACAGAATGAGAAGCGTCCTGGAAAGTTGTGTACAGATATTTTTATCAGCTGAGTCACCTCTCTTGTGTAAGTTTGTAAATAAATCACGATTCACATTGCATGTCTGCTTGAAGTTTCACAACACAATTGCTCTGGTTCCAACAACTGCTCTTGATAAAATCCCTGTCTTTTGAGTGAAATAACCAGTGGCCATCCCTAGCAATGTGGAGATAAGTACGGATCGTCCAGCTGTCAGCTTTTGCATTAGAGACTTGGGCAAAGCCATCTGTTGGGCTGGAGGTGTCTGCAGCCTTGGCTCTGTGTCACCTGCTCCCCACGGCCCAAGTCTTTCAGTAGGCCCCTTCTAAAATAAGTACCGTTCAGACTGTGTCTCAGTTATGGGTCAGATCTGTTCCTAAGTGTGTCTTTAAAGTCAACCTTTAGGGAAGTTGGAAGAGGGGCCTACAGTTCTCATTCGGCTTTCTTGTCATTGCTAGTGCCATGGGGTTGAGAACGATTCCGAGCGATCCTGCGTACAACAGATCTGAACCCTGTCCTGTCCCATTCATCCTCACAATCTCTGAAAACTCGAGCCTGTCCAGCCTTGCTGGTGACCTAGTCCATACGGAGTTGCGGTGTCTCTCTGGCAGTTTGAACCCACCAGGAGAAAGATGGGCCGTCTCCTCCCACATAATCGGTCACTGTTGTAAGCCAGCGACTCAGAGCCCACTCACAGCTGACCCTTAAGCGGGTTTTCAGAAACAGTGAATCACACAGGAAGAGATTGCCCGGTCTCCTGCGGAGCAGCTGGGAGATTTGAACCAAATGCCTTTGGGAATGCTGTGCCGCTTCTTGACACTAGGCCACCGGAAACCCGCTGGAGGTTCAGCTACGAGTTGGTTCCAACTCCGTAGCAATGAGTCGAGTTAGTGCAAGAAAAGGCTCACACTTTTTCAGTGATTTAAATGTTGCACCTGCAGAAAGTGAAGGTTATTGTGATGAAGCCTTGGTCGTGGCGAAGGCCTTGGCACAATCGCGTCTAAGTGAGGGCAGATTTACTTCACAGGAAAGGGCGGCGAGGAGTTGTCCATTCAGATCTCTGTCCCACGAGCCTGCCTGCCTTTCCAGCTCTCCGTGGGACAGCTTGGTGTCTGTTGGTGAGACTCTGGCCTCAGCGGTGCTGTCTTCTTTCTTTCTTCCCCGTAGACTACTGTTTTCCAAAGTGAAGTTGGAGTCCCTGTGCCGGGGCCCGGACGAGGCGCTCCTCACCTGTAAGCACATGCTACAGATCTGGAAATCCTGCTACAACCTGACCAACCCCAGGTGAGACAGCAGCCTGCCTGGTTTGCATGGCGTTGCATGGGCCTTGCCTTTTAGGGTTACTCAGACTGGCATTTGGCAGGCATGACGTCAACCACCCCAGGTCCCCAGGTCCTCAGTGATGGCCACAGAGCCTCACGGTCCATTTTGAAGGGAACTTCCCCCTCACTGGCTGATAAAGCCTCCAAATTGTGCGTTTCATTTGCTGCCGTGGCTCAACTCCCAGTTTATCTCAGTCTGATGGCTTCCTATCAGCCATTACATGGGCTGGTGGACGTTTGTCCCCTTTCTGGAGGTTTCTGGACAGACTGGTCACTGATGTGTGTAAGGGGACTCCTTAACAGTGATGGGAAGAGAGCCCTGCTGTGGGGATGCTTCCCGCTCCTGGTGACCCTCTGCTCGGCTCCCAAGGCTGCACCTTCCCAAGAGGAGCCTGGCCATCTCCTCCTCCTGATTTGTACTTGGTGGATTCAAACTACTGACCAGTCAGCAGCCCAGAGCATTACACACTGCGCCACTAGGGGTCCTTGCATCCTGCTAAGAAGAGCCTTCCTGTGGTCGTGATGAGATCTGTATTTCAAAAAGTTGCAATCATGACTCAGACAAATAGAAAATAAACACTAAACACAAGACGAAGATTTAAGTTCCTTAGTTAACTTTGGGGAAGAAGTAAAATGTAAAGACCTAGTCCAAGAAGAACTTGGGGAAAAAACCATGAATGACTGATCAACAGGCAAGATGAATTTGCAAGTAGTTGAAAAAAAGAGTTTATAAAAAACCCAAAAACTTAATTGCTGTGTAGTCAGACCTGACTCGTAGCTGACCCTCCAGTGAGTTTTCAGAGGCCACAAATGACACAGGAAGAGATTGCCCACTTGTCCCCTTCAGAGCAGCTGGAGGATTCGAACCACTTGTCTTTTGGGCTGGCAGCATGACTCTTTACCCACTAGGCCACGAGAGCTTCCTAGTACCCTGTACTGCAGTTAACTATATTCTCTTTTTTTGTGGGAAGTATGAGAGGGTGAGAAATGGAATCGCCTTTGTCTCTATTAAACAGCTTAACATCAAGTTGATCCCAATGTACAACGACCCTGTAGAGCTGTCCCACCGGCTTGTCATGGCTGTAACCTTGACAGAAGCAGATTCCCTCCTCTCCTCTAACAGAAGCTGCTGGGTTTGAACTTCTGACCTTTCAGTTTGCAGCCAGGTGCTTCACTTCTGCACCAGGGCTCCTTGCCAGACAACATTTACTTGCCTGTTACTATTCATTGTATTCACTTTAACTTCTGCCCCTTCAGAGATGCAGTATAGTCTAATCAGTAGGAAGCTGTGTGTTAGTTGTCTTGGCCGTCCGTGGAACATTCAGTACTCTTCTCCAACATCACAACTCAAAGGCATCAATTCTTCTATAACCCTTAGTCATTGTCCAAATTCCAGATGCACAATAAGTAATTGAAAAGCCCAGGGCTTGAATCAGATGTACCTTTGTCTTCCTTTGGTTGTGTTGTTAGATGCTATGACATCATAGCTGCCTTCTGTGTTACCCAGTTCTGTACCCTCATCCCAGAAGCAGACACGTTTGGGCCCATAGTTGTAAGCAGCTTGTGTCACTGAGGAGTTTCTCTTCTTCACTGATGCTCTGTCTTACCAAGCATCATGTCCTTCTCCCAGGAATGTTCCTTGTTGATTGAGATGAAGTCTTACCACCCTCACTTCAATGGAAGATACTAAAAATCTTCCTTGTCCATTTCCGGATCTTAGAGCATTTTTCTTGGTGTGTGTTTGGATTGCTAAGTGTGCCCTTCTCTGGGGCGGAAGTAATTAAGTGGAAAGCTCATTAAGTTCCCTCAACCACTTGTACATGGATGACATGTTTCAGGTTCACAGCAAGGTGGCTGGATACCTCTGGTCCTGTCCAGAAAGGTCAGGAGCCTTCACACATGAAATTTAATTCCGTAACAGGCTAGAAAGGTGTGAATATAGAGGGTTCCTTGTCCAGCCAAGAGGAGGTAGCAAATGGCCTGGTCACAGTGGGCTCCGGCCTCCAGACCAGGGCTGTGCAAAGGTGGGAGGAGATGAGGGAGCAGTGACGTGGATGTGAGGGTTTCTATTGGAGTCTCCTGTCAGTGAAAGTTTTGCAGTTAAAAACCAAGTATTCAAAACCAGTGCCCTGAGAAGGAGTGGGACTCCCTGGCCACAGGTAGCTCAAAGGCAAGGGAGCAAGGACTCCACTGTGAGCCCACCCACTCGTAATGCACAGCCTTTGCAGGACTCCAATTGCAAATGGTCTATTTACCCGCCCTTCACTGTGGCAAGTTAGGCTATTGCTCTGTGCTCCCAGCTCTGGGACAGTGGTCTTGAAACCAGCCTCCTCCCTCTCATGTGTAATGCCCTGAAAATAAAGATCATTGTACTGGAAAGCAAGCCCACAGATAAGCAAACAGCAAGTGGCCATATTTGTCCCCCAAAGCCCCCGACACCCGGCCTATCAGAGGGGTTTGGAGAGAGAGGCTCAGTCCCATCGCCAGCTCCCGGGCAGTGCAGCTCAGGGCTGCTCCACACCGAGCTTCTTCCTATGCCGCCACCTCCTTTAGAAACAAGAACATAAACCCATCAGCCTTCATGTTGCCAATTCTCCCTCGGCTCTCCACACCTCTCCCACCTCCCCACGTTTCCTCCCACTTAGCAACCAAGAATATTGAATGTGAGGAGGGAAAAAAAATAGCAGAATTGGGAAGCTTTTCAAAAATACTTAACCAAATGCCTGGGCTGCATCGTCCGTGCTGCCTCTGTTTCCTGAAGGATCTTTCAGGGCCAGAGCAGGGTGGGAACACTCACCCGGGCTCAGGGTCTTGGGGTGGGGGGAGAGACAGGAAGAAGGGTCCATTGGTTGTCAGACTGGCCCCCTTCAGCCTTGAATGAAAAGGATGTAAACCAAGTGACCCTTTACTGAGGAACTTCCTGTTTGCTTTTTAAAAACTTTGTTTCCTCTCTCTGGAATAAAAAGAGATGGTTCTGCAGCCTTTACCACCTTGAAAATGCAGGCATCCTTCCAGTACGCTGGGCTAGGAAGACCTCTGTCCATAGAATCCAACCTCAAGAAGAAAAGGTTGTGTCCTGGGTTTGCAGTTCTCCAGAAAAGGGCAGCCTGGAATTGAGGTCTTGGAAGGTTCCAGAAAAGAGTTGATTCACCCTTATGAAGTGTATGAGACGCATCTCTCCAAAATTAAAAAAAGAAAAAGAACTGAGCAGAAAGCATGTGGGCAGGAAGCAGTTTTGTGTCTTCCTGGAGTAGGTGGGCACTTGGCATTGACTTCCTGCCTCGGATGCCCTTGTATTTGAGCAGGCTCACTTGTGAGGCTTTTGCTTTGCTTGTCCAGGTCTCCCCAGTCTAACCAACTCCTTCTCAAACTCAGGCAGCTCATCCCAACTCTTGAGGTCTCCGGAGTGGTCAGAGGATGATGTGACAAAGGGCAAGAAAGGGCACTGTCAGGTTTCGGCCACTCATACCCTCTTCTTTATTTTTTAAAAGAAGGAAAATCGCATTACGAACCCTGAGCTGAGCCTTCTAACACTTGGGAACAGCCTTCCCCTGCAGCTGCGAATGCATCTCTTGCTGGGAGCACAGTGGTGGGTGGCTTCTCTGGCGCTTGGTGAGGGGTTTGTCATCTCAGAGGCTGTTTCATTCCCCTTCCCCTCATTGTGCGATTCTACTTTGCAGTTGGCAGGGAGAAATCTGCCTCCTGTTTTGTCTTCCCTTCTCAGTAAAGGCTGCAGCTCCTTCATTTCATGTGTGTGTTCACTCACTGACAACCACTTGGCCACACAAAAGAAAAAAATGTTCTGGTGGGAGCATCAGCAGAAGGTTCCAGCAACCCCTTGAGCTGGGCGCCACAGCACTGTTGCACTTAAGCTGAGCAATCGGGCTTCCTCTGGGCCAGCCCTGGCCAGGCCACTCATATGTTCTCTTTAATCCTTGCATCAGCAAGAAAGCTGCTGTTGTTCCCGTGTTGTAGAAAAAGGAAGCTGACACTCAAGGAGTGTAAATCGCTGACCTAAGTGCCCAGTGAAGTAAGTATGCAGTTGGAGCTGTGGTTCAGACCCTGTCAGCTGTCAGAACACCCTCCACCACAGCAAGCTGCCTCTCTGAGCCTGTCCACTGACTTTTCCTCCTTTATCGTTATTGTTAACCAGCCACTTCTTTCCCTTCTGTCACTGTCACTTGGACCCGAACATCGTAGCCCCTAATGGACATCTCCACATGACTAGAAGGAGTTGTCTTCCTAAACTCTGCTTTGAACACTTCATCAAGTTACCTATTACTCCATCCTTTCCTTAGAAGTCAGAGGTTCCATTTTTACAGACAGTCCTCAGGTTAGGAACTTCCAGTTTTCATTGACCCATAGTTATAAACAACTTCATAAAGTCCATTTTATTAAACATAGAGGTCCAAAAAAAAAAAAACATAGAGGTCCATACAATGAACAAGCAGAAACTAATTTGCAGTGTGCAACAAATCATTATTATTATTACTATAGTACATTGACAGAGAACAGCCAGAAGTACAAGAAATATTGCCTGGTTCAGAATCAGGAAAAGGGTGCATCAGAGATGTGTCTTTGCTCCATATTTATTCAATCTATATGCTGAACATTCAGGAAGCTGGACTTTATGAAGAATGTGATACCAGGATTGGAGGAAGACTCATCAACAACCTGCATTTTGCAAATGACATCACCTTGATCTCTGAAACTGAGAACTTGAAGCATTTGCTGCAGAAAATCAAGGGCCGCAGACTTCAATATGAATTGCATCTCAACACACACACACAAAAAAGAAAAATCTTCACCACAAGGCTAACAGGAAGCATCATGATAGATGGAGAAAAGATTGAAGTTGTTAACGATTTCATCTTGCTCGGATCCACACTTAACACCCTTGGCATCAGTAGTTGGGAAATCAAAAGATATATTGCATTGGGGAAATCTGCTCTCAAGACCCTC